CTCTGCTGCCCAGGCTGGTCCTGAACTTCTGGGCTCAAGTTATCTTCCTACCTCAACCTCCCAAGTCCCTGGGACCACAGGAGCACGCCACTGTGCCCAACTCCAAATCCTCATTTTAAATGTTGTATGGAAACAAACCATTCAGATTCCCCTGAGAGGATGATCAGGTATGAATTACGAGTAACACTGTAAAGCCAGGCTGCAATGATCCCCAGAGATCCCAAGTCACAGGTAGTGAAGTTTGACTTGTGTTTTTAAACTTTTCTTTTCCAGTATAAGCATTAACACTATAAATTTCCCTTACAGTACTGTTTCCTACAAGTTTTGATATGGAGTATTGTCATTATCATGACTTTCCTTTTACCTGTGATTATTTACACATGATTTTGTTAATTTCCAAACATACAACATTTTCAAGACATTTTTTATTGAAGTGCTATGTAATTATCAAAAATTATGGCCGAGAATGGTGACATATGTCTGTAATCCCAGCACTCGGAAGGCTGAGGCAGGAGAATTGCCAAGAGTTCACGGCCAGCCTGAGCTACATAGTTCAAGGCCAGCCTAAACTGAATAGTGAGACCCTGTCTCAAAAACAATTATGTAAATCAAAGTACACACCACAATGATTTTCATAAAATGAATTTCCCCATGTACACAATATCGGAGCAAGATAAAGAATGTCAGACAGATGTCTGACAGATGTCTCTAGCATGTCCACTTCAAGTCACCACATTCCCTGAAAGTAATTATTCTTTCTTCCATTCCCACCAGTTAACTTTTCTGTTTTTAGATTTTTATATTAACAGAATCACACAGTATGTTCTCTTTTGTGTCTAATGTCTCTCATTCTCCAACATGTTTGTATGACATATCTAAATTGTGGCATAGATATACAACTTGATAGACATTTGGGCTGTTTTTAGTGTGTGATTACTATGAATGGTTTTGTTATTCATATTTTATAAGCATTTCTGACAAGTATACATGTAAGAATGGAATTGTGAGTTACATCTATTCCTAGGTTCAGTTTTAGTAGAAACCACCAATTTTCCAATGTGATTGTACCACTTTCAACCATTTTACCAGTAGCAGAGAATAAGAGTTCTTGGTACTGTTGATCAGTGCCAGTGATTATCATGGTCAGTTTTCCTTCATACGTGGACTCTGGAAAGATATAGTAGTGTCTCAACATGTCTTCAATTTGGATTTCCCTGATTAATAAGTGGTCACTTTTCATATTTTTATTGCCAACAGAGCCTCTCTTATGAACTGACTTCCTGTTCAAGTGTTTTGCCCATTTTTTAAAAAATTGAGATGTCTGGGGCTGGGGATTTAGCTCAGTGGTTTCGCCACCTGCTGCGCAAGTGCAAGGACCCGAGTTCAATCCCTGGTACCAAAAAAAAAAAAAATTGAGACGTCTGTATTTTTCTTGCCGACTTGAAGGAATTGAATAAGTGTATTGGAAATGTTTTCTTGTATTATGTGCCTTGTCTTCTCACTCTCTCCCATGATCAAAAGTTTTTGATATTAATGAAGTCCAATGTATCAATCTTTTCCATTGTGATTGTGATGTTTGCCACATAACTGGCAAAAAGAGTATTCAAAGTATACAGAGAATCTTACAAATCAATAGAAAGAAAAACAATTCAAATCTGGGCCAAAGACATGAATAGGGTTCTCACAAGAAAGGAAAAATAGGCACTAACCATAAGAAAAGATATTTGTTACGCTTGGGATCCCAAGTGTCCCCCAAAAGGCTCACTGCAGTAAAGCCTTGGTTGCCAGCTGATTTCCTTTTAGGAAGATTAGATCATGACAACTCTATTCACTTCATCAATGAATGACTCCATGGATGAGTTCATAGCTCAATGGGCTTATTTGGAGGTGGAGCCTAAGTAGATGAAGTAAGCCACTGAGGGTTGCCTGGAAGGGTGTACCTTTTTCCCAGCCCCTTCCTTGCTGCCTCTCTCTGTCTCTGTCTCTTTCTCTGTCTCTGTCGCTCTGTGTCTCTGTCTCTCTCTCTCTCTCTCTCTCACTCTCTCTCTCTCTCTCTCTCCTCTACCCCTCTTTCTTCCCCAGCTGCCATGAGGTGAGCAGATTTGCTTTATCACGGGCCCCTACCATGATATTCTGCCTCACCTCAGGCCCAAAGCAATGGAACCAGTTCCCACAGACTGGAACCTCTGAAACCATGAGCCAAAATAAACCTTTCCTCCTTCAATTTTTTTTTCAGGTATTTTGTCCCAGTGATAAAAAGATGACCAACCAATGTTTAACCCCATTAATAATCACACCATGCAAATGGGAAATCATTGTAGACTTGTCAGACTGGCCAAAAATTAAGAAGGGCTTGGTGCGGCTATAGGGCAACAAGATCCACACGCTGAAACTGAAATGATTTTAGACAATAAAAAGCAGTTCTTTGCAAAGTTAAGAACATTTGTCACCAACATTTTTCTCCCTAGGTACTTCTCCTAGAAAAATTTGTGCACATGTACATAAGGAAATTATATAGCAGTACTATAAAATGGTAGAAATAACAAGTGTTCTTTGACAGTAAAATAGATAAGCAAATTATAGCTTATATATAATGGAACATTATAAGCAGCAAAAATTAAAATAATATCTTTCAACTTGAAGTTTGAAACATTGCTATCATTATATTATTATGTAAATGTTATATCTATTCTATGTAAGATCATGTCATAATAAAAGGTTCTTTAATGTTATGTATCCATAGGGCTGGGCATTTAGCTCAGTGGTTCTGGTGCCTGCCTCTCAAGCACAAGGTCCTGAGTTTGATCCCCGGTACCAAAAAAAAAAAAGGTACTGTTATGCATCAGTAAAGTGATATTGGAAGAGTTGAAAGATCATGAAAATGACCAAGATCTCTACATGTGTTTTGTTTCCATAGCACATCTCTGGAAGGATACACAAGAAAGCGGTACCGGGAGTTGTTAGAGAAGCTCTTTACATTACCTCTCCACAGCCACTTCTCATCCTTCTCTGTCCTGCTCTGTATCAGACACATCCTGGCCCTGTGATGTGTGAGTTCAGCCCAGAGAGGCCCTGAGGGAGGAGAGTGAGACATCGGTATGTGTTGTCACAGCTCCCTCCTCTGTCTGGTGACCAAGATGACCTATGTGGTCCTCAAAGAAAGACCATGATAGCTGCTGTCTTTCCTCTATTAGTCAGCATTTTCCAGAAAAACAGAAGCAACTGACAGAAAAAAGAGAGAGAGAGATGAATAAGAAATTGCCTCACATGATGTGGGATTGAGAACTCCTAAAATCTGCAGTTGTGAAGCAGAAGAGTCTGTGGGCGGCTCCAGTCTGCATCAGAGGCCTGGGAACCAGGAGAATCAAGAGTGTGAAGTGCATCCTGAGAGCCAGGGGCCTTGAGATCCAAGACCAGTCAACACTTTTGTCTGCATGTAAAAACCAGAAGACCGGGGTCCTGGCTCCTGCTCCCTTTCACATGGTGTTCTTGCTCTTTTCAGGTATTCATTTGAGTGGAGGCCCACCCACATTGCGTGGCACCTGCTTTACTCAGTGTTCTGGTTTATATCTAAATGTCCCCCAAGCCTCACGTGCTCAGAGGTGGGGCTTTGGAGAGGTGACTCAGTCATGGAGCTGTGATACTCATTGATGGATTCCTCCATAGAGGAGTTTATAGCTGCATATGCTGTTAGGGGGTGGAGCCTGGCGGGAAGAGGTGATCATGAGGCAAGGCCCAGAAAGGTGTATGTCCCTCCCCAGCTTCTCCCTTTGCTATCTGCTTCCTGGATGCCATGAGGTGAGCAGCTTTCCTACATCAGGCCCTTGCACCATGCCTTCCAGCCTTGGAGCTGGCTAACTATGGATTAGAAATGTGAACCAAAATAAACCTCTCCTGCTTTTAGTGGTGAGTGTCAGGTACGGTGTCCCATTGAGGAGAAAAGTAAGTAAGACACTCAGTCTACCAATGCTAATGGTGATCTCCTCTAGGAACACTCTCAGACGCACCCAAAATCATGTTTGGCCAAATGTCTGAGCACCAATGGTCCAATCACCTTCCTATAGCTGTAGATCAGTGTCTGGGTTCTGGAAACTCATTCAAGCCTAGAAAATTATTTACCAGAGTTTGGGTGTTCGTTGCCCATGTGTTAAAACCTTGGTCCCCGGAGTGGCTGTCTTGGGAGGTGCTGTGGATGTTTAAGAGGCGGGGCCTGGTTTGAGGCTCTCAGGTTATTGGGGGTGGGTCCTTGATAGGGATGGCAGAGCCCCACCCCCCAGTCTCCATCTGAAATCAAAACAATGGGCCACCCGATCTTGGATTTGAACCTCCAAAGTGTGAGCCAAAGAAATGTTTTCTCTTGACAATTGCCTCAGGTATTTCATTGCAGTAAGGTAAAGCTGGCTGATGTAGTACTTCACTGAACCTTGTTTTCTTGAACCCTTATCACTGTAAGTAGTCCCTGCAGTAACCACACTCCATTAACCCATTTAAGTGTGATGATGCCTGCTTCCTGCTGAGCCCTGACTTCTGCGCTCATTTTTAAATATTAGTGACGGTGATTTACAAATCCCATGAGCTTGTAACAAACATGATGCAATTGCAGGCCAGCTGGGTGATTCCAGGGCCTGCAGTGGAGTCGGACCTCTTTCCCTGGCCCTGTAGGATGAACCCCAAGTGAAAACAGGGCAGGGGCCAGAGGGAACCTCAGATGCTGATGCCTCAACAGCCGTGGGATCTGACCCGGAGTCTGTGGACCATGGTGTGGCCTCATTGTCCCCACAGGACACAGCTGGCCACCAACAGGCCATCCAGCACCATACTTAAAATTCAAAATGTGAAACTCACAATAATAAAGCCATCTGGTCCATATTATGTTGTCTAACAAGTATAAGTAATGTGAGCTATAAATACAATGAGCAAAGGAAGCAAACAAGAGACCATCAATCAATACAGACAATTTGCACCAGAGATGATGACTCAAGTGTATTTACACAAACACAGAAATTTCTTTTTCAGGAGAATCTACAAACGATGGGCTAAAACAGGCCTCACTGGAAATACATAAGCTGCCAGTAGCCTTCTGTCATATAACTTCCCTGAAATAATAAAAGCTTTAAAGAGAATATCACAGAGAACTTGATGTTGAGTTTTAAGAATGCAGAGTGCTGGCCGGGGATTTAGCTCAGTGGTTTCGCCGCCTGCTGAGCAAGTACAAGGACCCGAGTTCGATCCCCAGTACCAAAAAAAAGAAAGAAAACCCACAAACCAGGTGTGGTAATGTGTGCCTGTAATCTCAGCACTGAGAAAGCTGGGGCAGGAGTATCACACTGATATAGGGAGAAGAGATGTAACTCCCAAACCTGCTAGATATCTGAAACGTGACTTCATGTTCTCTAAAATTGAAGAATGAATTCTAGAACAATGGAGGTTAAGAGTAGGAAACATTTGGGGCCAGGGATTTAGCTCAGTGGCACCGAGGCTGTCTTGCAAGCACAAGGTCCTGAGTTCAAACCCCAGTACCACAAAAAAAAAAGAGAGAGAGAGAGTAGGAAACATTTATTGAGAGAAAGATAGTATCTACCTAAGAGAGACAGAAAGGAGACCAGAAAATGGGTTGCCTGGGGACCCTATTTCCCGTGGGGTTTTTATGGAGCAAAGCCTCACGAAGTGAGGCAGGTTCAAGGTGGGACAAAACTATTGTCAACTAGTAAGATTACAAGTACAGTCACTTAGGTAGTATTGATCCAGTGGGAAATCACAAGGTGGGACAAAACTATGATCAACCAATAAGATTATACTCGCTTAGGTAATATTGATTAAATGGGGATCCAATGGGGAAGTAAGGTTCACGGAATGAGCAAGGATTTCAGGTAAGGAATGGGTCAGAGATCTTTCCTGGAAGGGGTAGGTTAAAATCTTGGTCCCCCACCCAGGTGATTGATACCTATTTAGAATATCAATCAATGCTATTCATCCCTAGGGGAAGCAATCTGGTATAGTAGATTCCCTCTTCTTTTACAACACTGGCCTTCAGTTAATGTGACTTGATTGTCCTCCTTGTTGGCTGCTCGAGGGCCAGCCCAGTCTAACTGCCTACGAGATAGCTAATTAGGACCAGGGAGTTAGCTCAGTGGTGCCCCACCTGCCTTGCAAGCCCAAGGTCCCGAGTTCAGTCCCCCGTACCAAAAAAATCAAAGCCCAAAGGAAGGCGCACCTAGTTGGACCTTGACTGAATTAGGGGACTGTCAGGGAAATCTAAAGGAGGGAGACCATGCTTGAGCTCATAAGCAACTATATCTGATGATGAAATTTACATACTGCTCAATAAACTGTCTTTCCTGTTCCCCTTTAAAAAGCTTGATTGGGATTGTGCAAGCCCAGCAAAACTCAAAAGCTAGACACAGCCATCTGCATGGTGCAGGAGGCACCCTTTGCACAGCACCCATAGGAAGCCCACGAGCGGAGGGCACAGGACGCCAGGTTTCCAACTACAGCGGGGCCAACTTGCTTCCCTTTGCTTCCACTTCCAGCGTGCCACAAAATGAATTCCCCGGGCCCCAGACAGAGCCACGGACTGCAAAGGTCAGCGTGAGCTGGCACTGCAGGACCTGAGAGAGGCGGGAGGTGAAGGCCAATGCCTGTTGCTCTGCCCAAACCATCTGAGCCCAAATGGCTCAGAGGGATTCTTCAATTCTTCTTAGGAAGAGGAAACAGAGGTTGGGCTTGGAACCCAGAACAGCTGTCTGCAACACACATGCTCGGGCCAAGAGGGAGAAAATGGTGACCTGCAGGGAAAAAACAAATTGGAAGAAATCACCTGACATCGCTCAACAAAATGATTTATGTTGTTTCATTTAGCAACTTTACATGTACATAATTTATACTTTTACCATTTTGTCTTTGATTACAATCATAAAATAGGATTTCTGAGCCAGGTGTGGTGGTGCACGCCTAACATCCCAGCACTCCTGCTGAGGCAGGAGGATCACTGTGTTCAAGGCCAGTCTGAACTACATAGCAAGACTCTGTCTCAAAAAAACAACAACAGGGCTGGGGATTTAGCTCAGTAGTTCCACCGCCTGCCTTGCAAGCGCAAGGTCCCAAGTTTGATCCCCGGTACCAAAAAACAAACAAAAAAACTAACAACAACAAAATAGATTTTTTTTTAAGGTCACAAAAGCTATGACAAAGGTTCTTAAAAAGTTCCAACAGCCAGCCAGGCTCCCTTGCATAGGGAGGTTCCTTCCAGGTACATATCTGGGAGGAGAAAATGCCTTATTCGGGAAAGCCCTCTGAAGTATGGGATGAGCCCACAGCCACCTTCTCTGCCTACCCCAACTATGATCTTTGTGTCTTGAATGATTTATTGTGGGAGAAAACCTCGGGTATGGACAATGAATTCTCTTGCTCAGGCTGCCAATTTGTAGGCACCACGCACATCCTCATAGCTGTGCAACACCACCGACAGCCATTTTGCCTTCACAGAACCCTTTGCTAGACTTTAAATTCTCAATAGCTTACCCTGAAAGAACTACCACTGCTGCCATCCTGAGTTTCTTTGAGTGGTGTGAGAGGGAAATTGCAGCCAGGTGTGGAGGTGCATGCCTGTGATCCCAGCACTTGAGAGGCTGAGACAAGAGGATTGCTGAGAGTTCAAGGCCAGCCCAGGCTACATAGTGAGTTCAAAGCCAGGCTGAATGACATAGCAAGACCCTGTCTCAAAATCTAAAAGCAACAATATTAATTTTTCCTGCTTCTGCTGGCCCAGAAGTCCAACATCAAGGCACTGACATATCTGGTGTCTGGTGAAGACCTTTCCAGGCCTGTGGATGGCTGCCTTCTCCCTGTGGCACTACATGATGGAGAGAGAAATCATCTCTTCTGTCTCTTTCTTGTTGTCACTGTTTCGGGGGTTTTTTTGGTACCAGGGGTCAAACTCAGGACCTTGTGTTTGTGAGGCAGGCTCAAAGCCACTGAGCTAAATCCCCAGCCCTTTACTGTTGGTTTTTGACAGGTTCTCACTATGTAGTTCAGGTTGACCTTGAACTCACTATGTAGCCCAGGATGGCCACGAACTTGCTGTGATCCTCCTGCCTCAACCTCCTGAGTGCTGGGATTACAGGTGTGCCCCACTAAGATAGGAGATTAGGGCATGGCAAAGCTGGCTGGGGAAGTAGGCATGACCTGTTATTAGTAGTAGACTCTCAGGCTGCTGAAGGCTCCCTAGGTCACCATAATTCTGCTCACAAATAGAAAAGAATTACACCATTATACAATCACTCACTATCCAGCCAGGAACAAGGGAAGCCAGGCAAAGGAGCTCTAGTGTGATCTGTCAACAAGAGAAATGCCCAGCTTCCTATATGGCTGCACTTCCTACTGCTCATCTGACAGCAGAACGAACGCCAGTTACATAGAACCCTTTCAAGACACATGGCACAATCCCACAGGTCTATATGGCCACATCCTTGGTTGCAGCAAATTGTCCCTCTGCACTGTTTCAGTGACATAAAAAGCCTGATAGCTGGGTGTGATGGTGCATATTTGTGAACCCAAAACTAGGGAAGCTGAGTCAGGAGGATCTCCGAAAGTTTGAGGCCAGCCTGGGCCACACAGCAAGACCCTGTCTCAAAAGAACAAGCAAAACTGATGTTGCTTGGGCTGCGGCTGAGTGGTAGGGTGCCTGGTGCACATGCAGAAGGCCCTGGCTTCCATCCTCCGCACCACTAAACCAAACCAACCCAATGAAAGTTGATGAATCGAATTATCCATGTGTCTCAACAGTTCTTAATTGAAGAGTTCCATATTATTAGTCCTAACGATTAGAAAGGCCAAATTCGCTGATCAACAGTAGCTTCCGTCTCAAGTTTGCCAGGGAGTCTGGCTGCTTTCTAAACTATGTCTAAGTCAAGAACAAAATAGAGAAGTAAAGTAATGCAATGTTTTGCTGTCAATGTTTATTCATCTTCAAGTGCAGAAAGTACTCATTACTTGCAAATGTTCTTAAGGATTTCTGAACCACCCTGCCAAGTAAATTTCCCCACAAATGTCCCATCAGGGACTGGTAGATTCGAGAATAGCATTTCCTTCCTTCAACAACACTATTTGGTAGCTGGGCGTGGTGGTGCCTGACTGTAATCCTAGCACTCGGAAGGCTGAGGCAGGAGGATCGCTAAGAGCTCGAGCCCACCCTGAGCTACATAGTGAGTTCAGTGCCAGCCTGAACTACGTAGTGAGACCCTATCGCAAAAAAAGAAAGAAAGAAAGAAAGAAAAGAAAGAAAAAAAAAGAGGGGAAAAAACCCCCAAGACAACAAGGCCAAATCTAACAGCAGGACTAATACATGCCCACCTGTGTTGATTTCATCCCAAACACAAAATCGTGTAGAAGGAAGAGGGAGCGGCTTTTGAGGTCTTGCTGTGACTCATGCCCAGGAGCCCACCTGGCAGCGCTGGGCTGGCCGAAGTGACTCACCCCTTGCGGGAACTACAGTCAGCCTGCCCTCAGCCTTCTGCCGCATAGGCCTGAGCTCGGGCTCCAGCTTCATCCCGGCAGAGGGCAGTTGGAGCAAGAATCCTCCAGGTAGCTTTAGCACAAGTCCCACCCTTGGCATGGGACCACCCTCGGGTCTTTTTGCCCAGCTGCCTTCAGCAAGAACTCTATCGAGCTGGCCTAGCAGGAATAATTGCCCCTGATATTTCAGGGATGACTTGCACCCGCCAGCCCCCCCCCGCCCCTTGGCTATAAATCCTGGCTTGGCCTTGTGGGGGGCAGAGTTGAGCTCGGTTTCCCACAGCAACACCCCACAGTGGCCATCCCTACCGCCAGGAGAACAAAGCTGAGAGACACAACTCTCCACAGGCTAGCAGGTTTTATAGGGACAGACAGTGAGGGGAAAAGGTCAGAATGGGACGTCAGAGGGGGAGTTCAGTGGAAAGGAGTTGGGGCTGCCCACCAGGAACAAGGCTTAAGAAGCACAGAGAGTGGCGGCCGCCTGCCAGGAGAGGGCTGAAGAATGCTGGGAGTTATGGGGTGTGCACATGCTCACCTGGCCTCAGTGACCCAGTTATATATCCTTAGCAGGGGTACCAGCAGAGGGGAGGCGGGCGCGAAGTGGTCTTTGGTCCGCCTAGGATGGCAGCGGTCAGACCCCTTCGCCTGTATCTATCGTCACAGTCTGCCCTTGAATAAAATCTGTCTTATTATTCTTCATTTCCTCCCCTTGGGTTTTTGAGACAGGGTCTCTCTATATAGTCTAGACTGGCCTTGAACTCACTATGCAGCCCAGGCTAGCCTTGAACTTGTGGTGACCCTCCTGCCTCAGCCTTCCAAGAGCTGAGCTCACAGGTATGCACCACTGCATCTGGCAGGAAAGGTTTGTTTTGGCTCATGGTTTAGGAGATCTTGGTCCATGGTCGTTAGCTCCATTGCTCTAGGCTGGGGGTGAGGTAGACATTAGGATGTTGGGAGCAGGTGGTCCGGAGGCACAGAGAGCGGGAAAGTGTCCAAGAGGAGGGGCTAGGGACAGAGATAGCCCGAGTTCCCTCGCCCAGGCGTGGGCACCAGCAGCTGGGGAGTGAGCGGTCCTGAGCGCTATCGTGACTAAAATTCATTTCATCTCTGCTTTTTACTTCCTAATAGGGTCATGAGAAAAATCTCAAGTGATTCACGTGGCTTACATTACATTTCCTGGACAGCTATAGTCGAGAAAGCAGCTGGGGTGGATAAGGGAAGAGCAAAGTGGTCTTAGAACTCTTCTAAAAAAAAACTTGGGTGGTCTGGACGAGGTGGCGCACACCTGTAATCCCAGCATTCTGGGAGACTGAGGCAGGAGGATCACAAATTTAAGCACAACCCAAGCAATTTGGTGACTCAATGAGACCCTGTGTCAAAATAAGACATTAAGAAAAGGGCTGAGGGTACATCTCAGTGCAAAGGCCCTGGGTTCAATCCTCAGCAAAAGGTCCTGGCCTCTTACTGAGGAGCCCTGCAGCCACCTCGGATGGGCGGCTTTATCTGAGCTGGTCGAACTGCTCTGGAACATCCTCCAAGTGTCTGGGCCATGAGCAGTCCCCTTGGCTTTTAGAACCCGAGGATCCAGCAGCTCAGGTTCACTGGGAGCCCCGCATGGAAACCCAGGCAGTGGGGCCAACCCTGTGGGGCTGAGCATGCGCACAGTGCCCAGGAGGCTGGGTTCCCAGGGGCCTGGCCCTGTGAGAGGCTCTCTGAGTCTCTCCTGCATGAGCTTTGCTCACTTGGTGGAGAAGTAGGATCTCATCTGAAATGAGATGCTGCTTAAGCCATATAGCGAGGGAGGGAGGGAAAAGAAAAGGAATGGAAGAAAGGAGGGAAGGGAAGGAGAAAAGAACATCGGCTTCATGTGCTGTGTCTCTTGAAGCTGCAGAACAAGCTGACACTGTTACGGGAATGCTGGGGTCGTGTCCCATGGTGACAGGGAACAAAACCAAAGTCTGAGGAGGAAGTTGCAAACAGATTTATTTACAAGCTTCAAAGGTAAGAAAGTGAAAGCTAGAAAGGCAAGGAAGTGAAAGGCAGAAAGGCAAGAAAGTAGTGCTCCCGCTAGCTGGCAGGGGCTCTGAGTAGGAAAACCTATGAGGGCTCTTGGTCTAGGGGGTTGGGTTCAGCAGGGAGCTTGGCTGTTGTGTGAGCAACATAATCTCTAACCTACAGGACGGTACATATCTTTAGGGTCCAATCTCCACAGTGTCTATGTAGGGCCCACACATCCTGAGTCCATGGCCAGCCTCACTATGCTCTGGGGACCTCCACGGACACCTAATGGATGTCTCAGCAGATTCCACTATGGGGCCACAGTCCTGACTGCCTAATAGAACCCTAACCCTGACTCACTGATTCCTGTTACAATAATATGACCTCCTCTAAGGGGGGTGGGGGGGTGGCTGGATGCAGAGGTGAATAACAGACTGGTCTGTAATCTTTTCAGTTGGAATCTTTTGGCATGATTCCTCTATGACTTTTTTTGTTGTTGTTGAGGGTCTCACTCTGTAATTCAGGCTGGTCTAGAACTCACTATATAACCCAGGCTGGCCTCAAACTCACAGTGATCCACCTGCCTCAGCCTCCCGAGTGCTGGGATTACAGGCATGCACCACCATGCCCGGCTAGACTACACTGGAGACTTGTAAGGACTTTTTCTTGCGTCACCCTCTAGATCAGCAATCCACAAACTTCTGTAAAGGGTCAGATAGCAGGTGTTTCAGGCTTTGTGCATCTCTCTGGCAACCAATCTCCTCTCTACTGGGTGTGGCTGTGTTCCAATAAAACTTTATTTACAAAGTAGGAGCCAGGTATGTTGATGTACACCTATAATCCCAGTACTCAGGAGGCTGAGGCAGGAGTATTGCCATGAGTTTGAGGCCAGCCTGGGCTACAGAATGAGTTCAAGGCCAGCTTGAACAACATAGCAAGACCCTGTCTCAAAAAAAACAACAACAAAAAAAAACAAGTAGGAGAGGTTTAGCCTGTGGACAGTTTGTAGGGGGGGAGGGGACAGCTGCTTTAGTTTCCTTTAAACAATAAAAAATGTAGTCATGTTCTTTACTTTTTCATTCTTAAAGAGATTAAAATAAATCTCCTTCCAACCCAAGTTAAGAGCTATGCTTAGGAAGGTTGGAAACAAGATGGGTCTATGGCTGTAGCTCAGCGGTAGAGCCATTACTTACCCAGCACATTCAAGGCCCTGCGTTTGACCCCCAGCACTGAAAAAAAAAAGAAACAGAAGAAAAATATGATATTCATTCAGAAATATAAATGTGTAGCCAAGCGTGGTGGTGCACACCTGTAATCCCAGGACTCAGGAGGCTGAGGTAGAAGGATTGTCTTGAGTTCAAGGCCAGGCTGAGCTACATAGCTGGGCTACATAGTGAGTTCAAGGCCAGCCTAGACTATACAGCAAGACCCTGTCTCAAAAAAAAAAGAAAAAAGAAAAGAAAAGAAACTTTCCTTCAAATATTCCCATCTAATCTTCAAAAGAGTCTCACACGCAAAAAAAAGAAATACAAATGTGTTTCAAAAGTCAGGCCCAGCAGCATGCCTGTAGTCCCAGCTACTTGAGACGCTGACGCAGGAGGGTCACTTGAGCTCAGCAGTTTGAGTCCAACCTGGGCATCAGACTGAGACCCCATCTCAATAAAGCAGTGATGAAAAACCTCATTCTAGCAGTCTTTTTGGTGTGGCACAATGGAGCTTTCTGGGTTGAAAGTTGAGCCTTCCCTTGTCTCCAGACATTAAAGCAATGTGCGTTTGTGCAAATCTACTGAGAAAGTGCTACTCCAGAAACGCAGGTCATTCAGTTTAACTAAGTATGTCACTGACCTCTAAATCCTCTTCAAAAGTGACCATCATGACAAGTAGTCTCGTCACCCTGCCTGTGCATGGGAGGCTGAGGTCGTACCAGTGAGCTTGAGGTCATTTCTGCTAACAGCGCTGCCTCCTCCCTTGGGCCTGCAGCTGCAAGGGTAAATGAATGCAGGAGGAGCCAGGCACTCAGGAGGCTGAGGCAGGAGGATCACTGAGAGTTCAAGGCCAACCTGGAATACATAGCAAGACCCTGTCTCAAAAAACAAAGACATTAAAAATTTTGTAAAGGGCCAGGGATTTAGCTCAGTGGTTTCGCTGCCTGCTGCGCAAACACAAGGACCTGAGTTCGATCCCCAGTACCAAAAAAAAAAAATTTTGTAAAAACCAGTAAAAGCAGGCTAACAGCTCAGCATCTCCACCTTCATTTTGCACCTGTCTCCTTTGCTACCTTAAACTTCCAGTCTGGTTCTTACTCAACTCCACACTCAGGTGTTAATCATTTCAGGAGTGGTCATTTAAAGCTGCTAATCCCTTTCAAGGCCAAGAACACCAGGCGTGGCTGTCTTCAAGATTGTCAGGGACATCACGATCCACAGGCTGTCGACCGCCAGCTTTCACCACCTCCTGGTCCTGGCCACTCAGAGTCCACTTGCTGCCCTGAAGGACTAAGCAGCTCTATCTTACCTTTCTTGCCTTTTTTTGTTTTGCTGGGGGTTTTTTTGAGACAGGGGCTCACTGCGCAGTTCAGGCTGATTTTGAACTCACTGTGTAGCCCAGGCTGGTCTCGAAGTCACAGCATTCCTCCTGCCTCAGCCTCCCAAGTGTTGGGATCATTCCACACCCAGCCCATCTTGCCTTTCTGATCTGTCCTTCTCCCCACTCTTGGATTCAGGAGCCAGGAGTCTAACTGGTAACCACCTAGTGGTGTGTACAAAGTCCCTGGGGGGACAGTGCTCTCTTTTGCCACCTCATCCTGCAATAACGATCAACCAGCAGAGACTGAGTGACTGTCTCCCCCTTGTCACCCTTCCCTGCATCATCTAGGAGCTCTTTCGGATCCTCTGCTTCGGGGATAGCTCTGCTGAACACATCCCTCTCCTGCCTCCTTACTTTTTCCGCTTGGTTTGGGGGCGCACAGGCAGATGTGGTCTGTGGGGACTCCCACAGCCAGGCCCCTACTGGGCAGGAACGACAGTGCAGCCCCGAGGAGATTGCTTTCCTGCAGCACTGGCCCCAGCCTCCACGCACCGCACCGCGCTTTGTCTTTCTCTGCAAATGCTGCGGCCAGCACAGAACCGGAAGCTCAGCCTCCCACCGCCGATGAAAGAGGCCAGCAACATGTCCAGCTTCACTGCAACTTCTTCAAGAAAAAGGAGCTGGGCATGGTGGCGCCTGCCTATAATCCCAGTGCTCGGGAGGCTGAAGCAGGAAGATCCCCACAAGTTTGAGGCCACCCTGGGCTACATGATTAGTTCAAGGCCAGCCTGAACTACATAGCAAGACCCTGTCTCAAAGAAAAAGAAAAAGAAGGAATGCTTAAAATTTAGCACTCAATGGGCATGGTGGGTGGCACAGGTCTATAATCCCAGCACTTGGGAGGCTGAGGCAGGAGGATAGCCATTGAGTTTGAGGCCAGCCTGGGCTACATAGTGAGCTCAAGGACAGCCTGAACTACATAGTGAGAACTTGTCTCAAAAAAACAAACAAACAAAAACACTCAATGGGCATGGTGGCACACACCAAGAAATGCAGTACTCTGGGAGGCTGAGGCAGGAGGATCATGAGTTCAATTTCCATCTGAGGGACTTAGCGAGACCTTGTCTCAACATTGGATTGATTGTAGTACTAGGAAGTGGACCCAGTGCCTTTCCACTGAGCTATGTCCCCAGCCCTTTTTTATTCTTATTTTGAGACAAGTTCTCCCTAATTTGCTAGTATGGTAGGTTCCCCAGGCTGGGCATGAACTTGTGACCCTCCTGCCTCAACTTCCCAGACTGATTATTACAGGCCTGTGCCACCACAACTGGCTCACAATTTAAAAAATAATAATAAAAGGTCTGAGGGTGTAGCAAAGGCCCTGGTTCGATTCCCAGTACCACAAAAAAAAAAAAAAAAAGACACCCAATGGCTTGTGGAGAAACAATAAACAATGAGACCCTACTTTAGCTTTGGTTCCGTCCAAACAGTGACAGCAAGCAGATGACAGTGGTCACTGAAACAGTGTCACCGCCCCAACTGCCTGTGAGGAAACACATCCCTGTTACCTGGGACTTGGCCAGAAGCCCCAATCTGGGGCCCTGATGTCTGGATTCATTCGCCAGCCTGCCATCAAGAGTCCAGGAAAGCCAGGCGTGGTAGCACACGCCTGTCATCCCAGCACTAGGAGCCTGAGGCAGGAGGATCACTGTGAATTCAAGGCCAACCTGAGCTACATAGTTAGACCCTGTATCAAAGGAGTATAAGAAAAGTCCCGAAAATGGCAAAATGAGTTTATCCACACTGTGGCCAAATTGGGAGGCAGCTCACTGAAATTTATAGGAGGGGTGGAGGGCTTTCAGCTCAGGAAACTCAGAGTCCGGTTCCAGCCCAACCCAGCGCCAGGGCTGGAGGTGGATGGCTCCTTCTCAACAACAGGGAGCTGGAGACACTGCTGGGCTTTCAAAATGCACATCTTTCAGGCTCCACTTAGACACTGCGGCTCATAGCTGTGGGCCAATGTCTCGGCACTCTAGGTGACCATGGGCCTTCTTGGGTTCTCTGGCCCCAGAGGACCCCATTTTATTTTATTTCTTTTTGTCTTGTCTTATTTTCATGTATTATGTATGTATGTATGTAGAGCCAGGGTCTCACTGTGTAGCCCAGGCTGGCCTCCAACTCACAGCAATCCTCCTGCCTCAGCCTCAAGTGCTGGGATGACAGGCATGCACACCCTGCCCACCTTAGCTCCCCATTTTACACTCTCATGGCTCCAACTGTATCACAGCTAGAAAGAAGTTCTTCTCCCTCCACTTAGACACTGCGGCTCATAGCTGTGGGCCAATGTCTCGGCACTCTAGGTGACCATGGGCCTTCTTGGGTTCTCTGGCCCCAGAGGACCCCATTTTATTTTATTTCTTTTTGTCTTGTCTTATTTTCATGTATTATGTATGTATGTATGTAGAGCCAGGGTCTCACTGTGTAGCCCAGGCTGGCCTCCAACTCACAGCAATCCTCCTGCCTCAGCCTCAAGTGCTGGGATGACAGGCATGCACACCCTGCCCACCTTAGCTCCCCATTTTACACTCTCATGGCTCCAACTGTATCACAGCTAGAAAGAAGTTCTTCTCCCCATAGATTTATTTAAAGTGTGCCTGAGCCCAAGAGCCAGCCATGTGCAGAGACACCAGATGGAGCCTGAGGGGCCCCCCAGAGGGCAGATGGGGGCCCCAACTTGCCCTGCAGAGTAGATTCCTGCTTCACCCTTGCAGGGAAAGGATTTCAAGACACATGAGAGGTGGGCTTATTAGGCAGAATTGGAAGGAAGAGAAAATGGGGGTGGGCCACAGCTCTGAGAAAATCACACTGGCCCGTTAACAAAAAAAAAATGAGACCAGCTTCTTTTTTGTGGTTATCGTTTTCTGTTCTGGTGTCTGAGACAGGATCTGGCTGTGCAGCTAGCCCAGACTGGTCTTGAGCTAGGGGAGATCCTCTTGCCTCAGCCCTCCCAAGGGCTGGGATTACAGGCTTGTGCCACCACACCAGCCTAAATGAGTATGGGAAAGCTCGATGTGAGCCACAACCAAGTTATCTCAGCACATTCTGCAGGGCAAATCAAGAAGCAAGTGAGATGAGAATGTTGGGGAATGGGGCCAGGAATGGGGCTACAGAAGAGGTTCGGGGCTGGATCCCACCATTATTCTAAATGTTGATTTTTTTTTCACTGTAAATGTTTAATTTTTATTTTTTAAGAATATCGTATTAAAGTATTAATTAAGCAGGGTGTGGTGATACCCACCTGTCATCCAGCACTCAGGAGGCTGAGGCAGGAGGATCACCATGAATTGAGACCAGCCTGAATTGCATAGTGAAACCCTGTCTCAAAAAACCAAAAGAGCAAGAGCAAGGACCCGAGTTCGATCCCTGGTACCAAAAAAAAAAAAAAAGAACGAGGAAGATAGAAGTCAGGTCTCTCTCTTGAGGGCCCACACTTCATTTCTCTGAGTGTGTACTTTTAAAATTCTGTCCCATAAATCCCTTTACACTCCTTTAAAGAAAAGAAGTCAGACACAAAGGGCCACAGCTTTCATGACCCACTCACAGGAAACATGCCTGGCAGACAGACGGATGGGAGGAAGGAGCCAGCTGGCTGTCAGGCACGAGAACTGTGCTGGCCAGAAGTGCCCTGAAGCGTCCCTGCCTCCCTGCAACGGTGCACTGTCAGCTCTGCGCCCTGTGAGCTTCGCCTCGACTCCAAACCAAGGGTTCCTCCCTGGCTCCAGAGTTCTCTGAATCCACCTCAGTGTTGTGCCTGAGGCAGGTGCCTTTCTGGCCAGCCCGTCTCGAAGCTCCTTGCTGGAAACAGACACCGCGAGAACCCAAGGGAATCTTGGCCTACACACAAAAGTGCAAGTGCCTTCCCAGTAACAGAAGGACTTTTTCAATCTCTATTTATTATTATTATCATTTTGCAGTGCTGGAGACTAAACCTTGGCTACACAGTGAGTTCAATGGGCTACACAGCACAGGAGCTCTGCACTGAGCTACATCTTCAGGCTTTTTCTCAGTCCCCCCACCAATCAAACTCAGGAGACCTTGCACTTGCCAGGCAAGTGTGGCACCACTGAGCTACATCCCCAGCCTCACTTTTTATTTTTGAGACAGGGTCTTGCTAAGTTCCTCACACTGAGCTCAAACTGGAAATCCTCCTGACTCAGCCTCCCAACTTGCTGCGATTACAAGCGTGCACCACCTGTAATGGCTTAGAATGACTCACTTTTGACCCAAAATGCCTTAGAGTGCATGCCCTGCCACCTTTCTCACACAACACAGGCCGAAGCCTGCGACCTGGGCCCCAGCTCATCTTTCCAACTGAGGCTGCACAAGACACAAACACGCTTTGCATCCCACGGGGCTGTTGCAGAAAGTTTAATCAGCTACAGAAATCTGACTCACAGGGCCGCCCAGGAAGAAAGGGCAAACCCCCTGGCTTCCGGTTCCCAGGAGGAAGCTCCCCAGAGTCCGGCCGATCCTCTACATCCAGTGTGGTGAACAGCGACTCTGGGTGTGCGTGGACTTCTTCAGACAGTTCCTTCACCAGCACTCTGACTTAAAAAGACAATGTAAGTGTTCATTTTCACAAAAACCAAAGCAAACAACAAAAAAGTGCCATCCCTGAGTGGCTGAGGCTACTACAACTGCAATCATATGGCCCCAAGTACCCACTTACAGTACAGGTGTGCTCACGGGTGTTGGGCTGGCCTCGGGGCATCCCATCTCCCCCAACCCCCCCCCCACACACATTTTTTTATTAGTGCCATCTCCCTCAATCTTAACTCTTAGTTTTTTGAGATAGGGTCTCCCTATGTAGCCCAGGCTGGCCTCAAACTCACAGCAACCCTCCTGCCTCAGCCTCCCAAGGACAGGGACCACAGGCATGCACCACCACACCTAACTACCAGTGTTAACTCCTGACGGTGTCATGGGCCATTAGGTCCATCCTGCTGACTGAGCCATGAAAACAGTGCACGACAAGTGCAGCAACCAGGACAGCAGTGTGTCTGTGGGACACCACACTGGAAGCTTCCGGCTTACCCTCGCCAGCAGCCCTTCACTCGGAGCTGTACTCGAGTCAGCTAATCTCCAGCTCAGCCATCCTGGACCCGGCAAAGCCATCATCGCTCTTGTCGATGTTTTCACCACTGCGTAAGAAAGGAACTCACTCAGCAAGGCAAGAAAGAAAACCCTGCACAATTATATTCCATCATTTTTGGTGCTTGCTTGTGTGTCTTTGAGACAGTCCCGCTCTGTAGTCCAGGCTGGCCTTGAACTATGTAGCCCAGGCTGACCTGAACTCACAGCGAGCCTCCTGCCTCAGCCTCTCAAGTGCTGGGATGACAGGTGTGCGCCACCACGCCTGGCAAGTAGTAGTTATTTTTGTGAAGAGTAAAACTTTAAAGGGCAAAAGTCCCCCTTCATGTCAAAGCCAAGCAGCTTACCTGGGGGGCGGCAGGCCCATCTGCTGCAGGTAGGCATGCAAGTTCCCTGTGGCTGCGAGCAGGAGCCCCAGGTAGGGAGGCGAAGGCTTCATCGGCCTGGAAGAAAACTCAGGGTGGAACTGGACGCCAACGAAATAGGGATGATCTGAAATGACAGCAGCCGGGTGTGACTGAGCAGACAGACACCAGAAGGTCACCCTATCCTTCAGTACAGACGAGTCGGCAGCTGAGATGATTAACTTGTGGACATCTTACCTTCATGGATTTTTTAATCTTTATATCTTTTTCATTTATTTGTGCTGTTCTGAGACAGGGTCTCACCATGTAGTCCAGGCTGGCCTCGAACTTGAACTTGAATTTGTGGCAATCCTCCTGCCTCAGCCTCTTGAGTGCTGGGGTCACAGGCGTGTGCCACCAGCCCAGCTTTCACGACTCATTTGTGAAGTGGAAATCTACACTGTAAAACATGTCTTGCTTACTACACAGTCTGGGGGGTTTTATTTGTGGAAGGCGGCAAAGTGAGCAAAGGTAGACAGAGGTTTTGGAGCTCTGGCTTCTCCACTGGGTATCAACGACAGCACCATGAAGTCAACGGGCACTCACACTTCAGTCTGGGCAGCTCATCCCTCGAAATAATGGGGCTCTGTTACAGTGCTGGGCGTGGTGGCGCACGCCTGTAACCCCAGCCCTCAGGAGGCTGAGGTAGGAGGATCGCCACAAATTCAAGTTTGAGTGCAAGACGAGCCTGGACTACATAGGGAGACCTTGTCTCAAATCACAAACAAACAAACAGAAGAAGTCTCTGTTATCAAAGGGTGGCATGGCCTTTGAACATGTCAATGGTGGTTGTGGCCCAAGGTGGAGAGAATTCCAGTTCTTTCTCCTTCCTCGCCCTTCCTGCATTGTGCAAGCCTTCAAATGCACACCTGCCACACACGCTACCAGGCGGGCACGTGAAGCTGTTTTCCGAGCCAGGAGTACAAGCAGCCTTAACTCCAGCTCTCCCAGAGGGAACGGGACAGAAAAGCAGCTTTGCTGCTTCCGGTATCTGGGATCCTGTGCTTTGGCAAAGTAAGAATTAAACAGTCACCGTTCCCCACCTGCCATGCTGAGAGCTGCCCAGCAACTCTCCAGGTTCCCCCGCTGAGGGGTCACAGACCCACTTCTGGACAGGAAGTGGCGCCACTCCCTCCGCTCTGGGCCTCAGTGACAGCCTCGTGACAGCCTCGCTTCTCATCACTGCACCAACTGTCCAGGCCGCATGGACCCTAAGCATAAAAATGGACAGCTTTCTCTACCACAGCTCTGGGTCTTTTCATTTATTTTTTTACATTTTTAAAAAATCTTTTTATTTCAAGACAAGATCTCTACAAGTCGCTAAGTTGCCCAGGCTGGATACTAACTTGCAGTCCTCCTGCCTCAGCCTCCCAGAGCCCAGCTTCTTTGTTTGGTTATCAAGAATGGTGAGTGTAGGGTGGTGCTCAGAAGTGAAGTGGCCCAAGCGTGAGTGTCAGCCCTGAGCCATCAGGAAAGGCAGGAGGAGCCGGGTCCCTCCATGAAGCAACTTCAGCAGCGGAGCCTGCAGCCAGGCGGGCGGGAGGCCATTGCTCACCAGAGGATGGCAAGGAGGGTGCCAGTGACAGCGGCCGCATGCTCAGTGCGCAGCCTGGGAACCCCAGGAAGGGGCCAGGGCCAAGGCAAGGAAACCGATTACTTGGAGAACTGCTGCCCTGGGAAAAGTACATCATTTTCTGCTAAGTTCAGATCACCGGGCCCCCAAATGACTAGGACTGTAAGCCTCTGCTTTTCATGCGCTGTTTCTTTGTTTTATTTTGTTTCATTTTGTTTTTTGAAACAGATCTCACTATGTAGCCCAGGCTGGCCTCGAACTCACAGTGATCTTCCTGCCTCAGCCTCCCGAGTGCTAGGCTGACATGTGAGATGTGCACCACCAAGCCCGGCTGTTTCTCATGCACCTTGTAGCTGCCTATTTATTGCAAAGGAGAACGGAAGAGAAAGAATCTCAACCTCAAATGAGTCCAGGGTTGACAAAAGCTGTCGCCACACCTCAGCCTTGCAGGAATGAAGAGGCCACTTACTTGCTAGTTCGATGACTTCCATCCGGTTCCCATCAACATCCTGACCCACGAAGGCCAGGTCTTTCTGCTCAAAGTGGCTGATCATGCTAGGGTTCACCTGGAGATACAAGAAACCCAATGTCTTTAAGCCTCAGCGCAACACAGACACAGGTGCTTCTGGGAAGGTCCGGGGTTAGCTGGGTGGGTTTCCGAGACGCCCTAGCTTGTCTTGATCTCTATCTCCAACACCTAATTTTGTTTTGGTTTGGTTTTCTGAGACAAGGTCTCGCTATGTAGTTCAAGCTGGCCTTGCACTCACGGTGATCCTCCTGCCTCAGCCTCCCGAGGGCTGTGATCAGGATCACAGGTGTGCACCACCACTCCCGGCTGGTTATTGTTTGGACTGACTCAGTGGATAAGAGTGGAAAACAAACAGAGATTTCTGTTCTTCACACCCCCAAGCATCAAGACTGTTACACTCATTAACAGGCAGTCGATGCTTGTGGAGGCCCTGTGCCTCTCACCTGGCACTCCCAACATTTAAGTCCCCTTATCCACGAGACACTAAGCCTCAGGCTCAATGTAAACTTCCAAAAAGGCTCCCCAACCTAGGGACCAACAGAGGAGAAGGGAAAGAGCCCTGTCCCCAAGGCACTCCATCCCTCACCAGAGATGCCCCTTTCCGAAGACTGGAAAGGGGAGGGTTGGGCTTCGGAAGAGGCGCGGAGACCCCTGGGGTGGAGGACGGCAGAGCCGCCGTGCCAGGCAAACATACTCATGGCAGGCCTACCTCGTACCGATGCCTGTGTCTCTCCTCTATGAAAGGGACGTCGCCGTACAGTTTCCCTGAAAGACAGAGGGACATGAATGCTACAGCGATCCGCTTCCTTTCATTTTTTTTTTTTTTTGGCACCAGGGATCGAACTCAGGACCTTGCCCTTGCAAGGCAGGTGCCATCCCACTGAGCTAAATCCCCAGCCCTATCCATTTGCTTTCTTATTACTCCTATTTTTTTTTTTAAATTTTGAGATAGGGTCTTGCTGTGTAGTTCAGGCTGCCTTGAACTCACTATGGAGCCCAACCTGGCCTCAAACTCCCAGTGATCCTCCTGCCTCAGCCTCCCCAGAGTGCTGGGATGACAGGCTGTGCCACCACACCCAGCGTGGAGTGATCACCTTGAGAATCACACCATGATACTGGCAGAGGAAGCCCCTGGGGTGTGTTCATCAGATGCTCCAGCAATAATCGAAGGCAGTGGTGGCGGACCCATGGCACGTGTGCCCCAGCCGGCTATGTGTTATCACTGAAAGCTCTAAGGTTCGCCATCTCTGCTCTAGATGGTCTTCTCTCCTACAAGATGGTGACGGCCTCCTCAGAAACCATCGCCATGCCCTGAGGGGAAGCCCAAGGTGGCAAAGCTTGGAGGCCAGCAGCCCCTCATCCCTGTCCACATCTGCCCACAGAACTGAGTCGAGTCCACACCACCACTTCTGTGTGGACTCACACAGGGCTCTATTTATTTATATAAATGTGTGTGTGTATATGTATATATGTTTGTTTTGTTTTGTTTTGGTGGTAGTGGTAGGAACTGAACCCAGGGCCTTCGCACTGAGCTATATCCTCAGCCCTTTCCATCTTGAGACAGAGTCTTGCTAAGTCACTAAGTTGCCCAGGCTGGGTTCGAACTTGCAGTCCTCCCAGCTCAGCCTCCCAGAGTGTTAGGATTATAAGTGTGTGCCAAAACTGTTATTTTTTATTTTGATATTTTTATTTATTGCTTTTTTTTTTTTTGGTACCAGGGATTGAACTCGGGTCCTTGTGCTTGCAGGACAGGCGGCAGAACCAGAGCTAAATCCCTGGCCCTTATTTTGATATTTTTAAGGGTCATTTTAGGGTTTTTTTGAGACAAGGTCTCACAGTGTAGTTCAGGCTGGCTGTGGGGTGTGGGGTGTGCAGTGCCTGAGCTGAGCTCAGAGCCCCACAGCTGACAGTGGTGAGGCAACCAAGGCAGTCACTAAGGGAGGCGTGGACATCATCTACTGCTAGGATCATGTCCCTGCAGGAGGTGATCAAAATATATGGTGAATGTTTAAATTAAAAAATTAGCCAGGCATGGTGGCGCACGCCTGTGATCCCCACAGTAGGGAGGCTGAGGCAGGAGGATCACCTCAAGTTCGAGGTCATCCTGGGCTACACAGTGAGCTCAAGGCCAGCCTGGACTACATAATGAGACCTTATCTCAAAACAAACAAACAAAAAATGAGTACTGTAAAAGACACCTTGCTGTGAAGCCCCTCAGAAACCACCCCACCCCGGCTTCACATGCACTAGTCCCATGGTTCTTGCCACTTGCTGCAGCAGCTCTGGAACCCTCTTTCCTGGGGTGTCTTTATAGGGTGTGATCAAAAACAGGGTGAGTGCCACTGCCAAGTGCCGGCCACTCTGCTCACCGGACCTGGCACCGTGTGACTCCTGGCTCTTCCCCAATGGCAAAGTGACCATGAAAGGCAGACACTGGGAATGGATTCCGGTCATCTCGGCACTCAGGAGAGAGGACTCCAGAGCCGCTGCAGAAAGTGGCAGGAAGGACGGGCTTGGTGTGTTTGAAGCCAGAGCGAGGATTCAGAGGGGGATTTGTGGCAACGTGTCGCTTACCGTAATAATTTTTTTAAATGGAACACTCACCATACCTTTAGACCACGCCTCCACATTACCAAACACACCTCAGCGAGCAGCTGGCCTGGGCATACGCGACAGGAAGTACACCAAGACACATGGCTCAGCAGTGACAAATGACCACGCCGTGGACTTTTAAATACTTTTGCAAATCACCTCATTAACGGAGCCAGTTTCTGTTGTTTTAAAACTTCCTAACAATCTAATCTCACTAGATACTAGAACCTGCTTTTCGGTATCGGTGCTAGGATAAGAGAAAAGAAAACAAAAGCAGTCTTTCTAGCCCAGAAGACATACTCTGCCTTATCCCCATTCTTCCTGCTCTCTTTTGCATTTTCCACTTCGCCACTCTGCATGTCAGTGCCCAGAATGTGACCAGAGCCCGGCATCCGCCATCGACACCTTATTAGGGGCCTCTTAACTGCTTTCCAAACACAAACTTGCCTCTCTTACGGGAAAGCAGAACCAACATCTTTGTCAAGTCCGTCCCCTAAACATGAGGAAATGCAGAGGGGTTTTTTGTTTTATTTTGTTTTGTTTTGAGACAGGGTCTCACTCTGTATCCCAGGCTGGCCTTAAACCTGTGGAGATCCTCCTGTCTCAGCCTCCCTCAGTCCCAGGATTCCAGACTCACCTCACTGCTCCTGGCTCAGGCACTGTCTTTCACCTCTCCAGGATTCACAAGGCATAGCCTGGCCCACTGTCAAATATGAGCCTTCAGTTTCTGTTAGGCCCTTGAACTAAGAATGCTTTTTCCATTTCCAAATGGCTGAAAAACTTCAGGTGACATAGAAAGGTACAGGATATTCGATTTCTGCGGCCACGCATAAGGTCCCACTGGAACACAGCCATGGCCCTTTGCTTACTCACTGGCCCTTCATTGAAAAATATTTCTAAGCCAGGTGTGGTGGTGCATGCCTGTCATCCTAGCACTTGGGAGGCTGAGACAAGAAAACTGCAGTGAGTTCGAGGCCAGCCTGGGCCACAGAGTGAGATCGAGGTCAGCTGAACTACATAGCGAGACCCTGTCTCAAAAAACAAAAACAAAAAAACAAAAAGAGAGAAAACAAGAGAGAATAAGGAAAGAGTTTTCTGGCCCCAGGTTAGCCACTGAGGCCAGGGACCTGGGGAAAGAGCCTCCTCCAGGCTGACATGCTAATGAAGACCAGGGAGCAGGCGAAACAGGCTCACTCCAGCACCGAAAGGGCATGCGCAGTGAAGCCCGAAGCAAGAGCTCCCCTGTCCTCCATACCAGAAGACGGAAGACCACACTATGGGCAAGGCCGGGAAAGGGGGAGCCCTAGCACTGTGAGCGTCACTGTGAACCACCTCCCCTTCCTTCAAACCCTCCGACACAGTTATCAGCCATAAAAGTGTCCCTACCCTTCGGCCTAATCACGAAAGTCCCGGAGATCTATCCTGAGGGACACAGCCAGGATGCCTCAATCAATGTTTCCTAATAAAGCGTCAGGCCCAAGCTGCAATGTTTATCAGCAGGAAATGAATCAGCACATTGAGTTCTTCTCATCACCTCAATGCTATATACCCAGAGCTCAGAGAGAGGTGTGCTCCATATCCCAGCTACCTCGGAGGCAGAGGCAGGAGTCTGAGGCCAGCCTGGGTAACATGGCCCGAACTGGTCTCAACAAAAAAAAAGAGAAAAGAAATACTACGTGCCCAAATAATAGACATGAAGACCAGATGGATGCGTGGAAAAGTTTGGCCATGATAAAAGACTACAGGGCAGCTATGATAGCACACAGCCATATCCCAGCACTCGGGAGGCTGAGGCAGGAGCACCGTCATGAGTACGAGGTCAGCCTGGACTACATAGGAAGGTCTTGAAAACAAGCCAGGCGTGGTGGCGCTCACCTAACATCCCAACACCTGGGAGGCTGAGTCAGGAGGATTGCTCGGAGTCTGGGGCCAGCCTGGGCTACATAGTGAGTTCAAGGGCAGCCTAAACTACATAATGAGACCCTGTCTCAAAAAACAAAAAAACGGCTGGGGATTTAGCTCAATGGCATCACACCTGCCTCGCAAGTGCAAAGTACTAAGTTCAATCCCTGGTACCAAAAAAAAAAAAAATTAAAACTAATATGTTCTAAAACTGTGGGGATGGTTGCACAACTCTGAATTGGATAAAAATCAGGCAACTGTATACTACTAATAGCTGAATCTCTTAGTATGTGAATTATATCACTAAAGCTATTTAAAAGAACATCTGAATTAAGCTCTGGTACTGTATTTAAAATTCATAAAAAATCCAACACTACTTTTGTCTACTGTAAGTAAAAATAAATCTTAAATTCATCTTATTTCTGTGGTCTTTAGATATACTGAACACAATGCTCTTTTGAAAAAGCTTAGCGCAATTATCTCTGAATCTTTTCCAGCAGATATAATTTGAAAACATTAATTTTTTTTTCACTAACCACTTTTGTGACTTAGGCAATTATCTGAACAGTTTCAGAGTATTTGAAAACATCCGAAAGGCAAAGTAATCATGGCCACGCAGGACAAGCCGAAGACTTGTGTCTGTTCGGGGGGGAAATGCTAGCAATTCATTGGGCCGTGGCGAGGGCACATACTCGGAAAGAGCGGAATGCCTCACACTCCAGTGTTGTTCTTCCCCGAGTTAAGAAGGCATTTCCGAAGGTATTCTTGTTGGTTTGCTGCTTTGTTTTGTGATTCTGAGTTGAACCCAGGGCCTCTGTGCCAAGCTACATCCAAGTCCTTTATTTTCAAACAGGGTCTCAGGACCCAGGGTGATGGTGCACACTTGTAATCCCAGCACTTGAGAGGCTGAGGCAGGAGGATTGGTGTGAGTTCGAAGCTAGCCTGTACCACATACCAAGACTCTGCCTCCCCAAAAAATAAATACATAAGTTGCTAAACTGCCTAGGCTGGGTTTAAATTTCTAATCCTGGGATTACAGGTGTACATTACCACAGCTGTCTTGTTCGGTTTCCTGTCCTGAAGCACATTGCATACTGGGTGAGCGCTCCACCACTGAGCGCTGCCCTGCCTTGGCTCCCAATGGGAACTCAGCACTTCTCTGGCTCTGGGTGCCAGAGATCCCAGGGCTCCTGCATCCAGCTCTTTTGGAGCCTTGCCCTTCCCCTTTCCCACTCTCCCCACTGGGTTTTTTTGTCTTTCTTTGTGTTTTTTGAGACAAGGTCTCTACGAAATTCAGACCAGCCTTGAACTCACTATGTAGCCCAGGCTGGCCTGGAACTCACAGCAATCCTCCTGCCTCAGCCTCCAAGTGCTGGGATTATAGGCATGCCACCGCACCCAGCTCCCCACTCATTTTGTGGCCGTGGGAAGGCAGAGCTGGTCCTGTCCTACTCTCTGCTAGATCTCCAGACTCCAGCATAGTGCACACGGCACAGAGTGGACCCTCCATTGAACTAAGGGCTCTGGTAGGTATTCTGTTTTGGAGACAGGGTCTTGCTGCGTACCCCGGGCTGGCCTCGAACTCACCATAATCATCGTGCCTCAGCCTTGGCAAAGCAGAGTTATTAATGTCAGGTCACATGCAAAGGCCCACTCCCCTTGTGCCCTCCTGAGGCTCGGGGCCTCCAGGGGACCTTACTAGGGACAGGAGCACCGGGCACAGGGTGCCCAGGGCAAGGGTGACAGGGAGAGGGAGACTCCCAGCTCCCGAGGCTGGGTCCCAGCACAGTCACACGAGTGACACACAGCACCTTGTCAAATGAGCCATCTCAGAGACTTACTCAGTACTGAATTCTGGGTTTTGAAGACAGTTTTTCTTAGTCCCAGCCTCATGGTCCCGCCCAGCTCGCCAGGGTTGTGTTCCGGCATGTCGATCACCTTGGGAAAGAAAACAGTGAAAATAGTCCAGGTTTACCACCTTGTATGCAAGAGAACCGCCCACATTTCAAGCTTTGCTCTTATTATTATTGTTTTTTTTGTTGTTTTGTTTTGTTTTTGGTACCGGGATCGAACTCGGGTCCTTGTGTCCCATCTTATCAGACCAGGCAGTTAGAGCCTTTCAACCCTGTGTCCTCCGCCCACCATGGGAGTCACTGAGGGGAGGGGGACTGGGTCCCATGGGTCCCGGGTGCAGCGCCCGGCACCACATCTGTCTCCATGGCTAGCTGGGGCTGGATGATCGCTGCGGAGAGGAGACTCGGGCACTGACTGCTGGCCTTCCGTGCCTTTGCCAGGTGAGGCAGAGGGACCATGGCAGCGGCCTCTGAGCACTAGGGGTCCTGTGCAGCCAGAGCTCAACTGCAACGAAGTTCGGTTCGGACGCCCTGGAGGGCGAGGCCCAGACCATGCAATAACTAGCCCTGGGGTGGCTTTGTTTTTGAGACAGGGTCTCGGTGTGTAATTTCAGGGCTGGCCTTGAACTCACTATGAAGCCCAGGCTGGCCTCAACCTCCTGGCAATCTCCTGCCTCAGCCTCCTAAGTGCCGGGCTTACAAATGCACAGCACCACGCCTGGCTCCCATAGTATTCTTTTTTCTTTTTAGCTTTTATTTTTTTAATTAGCCCATGTTTGTAGTACGTCATGATTACATTCATCGTGGGGAGTTGGTCCACGTACAGAACACATCTTAATTCTTTTTACATCCCTTCCTCTCCCTCCTCCTCCCTCATACAATGGAGCACTACTCTGCCATAAAGAAGGGTAAACTTGTGTCCTCTGTAGGACAATGGTTGCACCTTGAGACCATAATGTAAGGAAGTAAATCAGATACACAAGCTAGGTAATGGGAAGCAGGGGGAATGGACCGTTCTCATAGGGAAGGGGACCATAGTACTATTTTAATGAAGATACAAGTTGAAGGCTGTACGGGAGGGTTAGTTCACACAGTGAGTTCAAGGCCAGCCTGAGCTATGTAGTGAGACCCTGTCCCAAAACACCAAAAAATCTCCCCCCCAAAACCAGAAACAAAAGAAGATGACAGCTTTTGGCCTCCCAGGTAATAAGCAAACCGAGCCAGCAACGAAAGGCCAGAGCAGCTTTGTCCCTCGCATCATTCCCACGCAAAGCCTGAGAGACGGCAGCACAGCGGTCTCCACATGCCCCTCTGCGTAACCGCCGGGCGAACCTGGCAGGACGAAGCGCTGCCCTCTGCTCCCCAGCATCTCACAGGGGAAACACCTGTTCCACCACAAAAGGACAGCTCTGGGCACTCTTGTCCCAAATCCTGGCTGTCAACTGATCCCCATGTTGGTGTTTTCCTTTTTTCTTTTTCGGTGTTTTGACTCAGGGTATGTACCCCAGACTGGCCTCAAACTCACAGAGATCTTCCTGCCTCAGCCTCCTGAGTGCTGGGATCACAGGTGAGCACCACCACACTCAGTTCTTTTTTTTTTTTTTTTTTGGTACCGGGAATCAAACTCAGGACCTTGCGCTTAAGACACAAGTGACAGAACCACTGAGCTAAATCCCCGGCCCCTTTTCAAAATATATATATATATATTTTGGTACCAGGGATTGAACTCGGGACCTTGTGCTTGCGAGGCAGGCGGCAGAACCACTGAGCTAAATCCCTGGCCTCTCCCAGCTCTTTTTTGGAACTGAACCATGTAGAATAAGAAAATAAAAAAGGATCAATAAGTAATAAAGCTTTAGGAGACAAAAAGGCACAAGCGAAGTGGAGGCATGGTACTAACCTCTGCTGCCGTTCCCTGTAGCCCGCAGGAAGAGTGCAAAAGGGGTCCGAACCTATCCTGGGCGGCACTTGGGGGGGGGTCACCATTTCTGCCGGGCCATGCGCCCTAGGCAGGCTGCTCGCTCCCTTCTCACCGTCACCATGGCGCTGAGCCGCAGCCCCCTCCCACCCTGGCCCTCCAGTCTCCTTATGACCCTAGGCTCTGTCCCTTCTCTTGCACTGAGTCCTCGGGAGGCCTCCCCAAGAGTGGCCACATCCTTGCTCCTGGAACCAAAGGCCCTCCTGGGGCCTACGTGGCAAACAACTTTGCAGTTGCAGTTGTAATGAGGTGTGTGTGTGTGTGTGTGATGGGAATTAAAATCAATGCCTTCCCCCTGACCTACATTCTCAGCCCTTTTTCTTTATTTTTAATTTTCAAACATAGTCTCACTAAGTTGCCCAGGCTGGGCTCACTCTTGGATCCTCCTGCCTCCCAGGGCACTGGGTTACAGGCGTGCGCCATCTTGAGGGTCTTAATGCATCATAATACAGCAAAGGCGTCACACAGTTGGGGGACAGCAAGAAGCCACACTCACCCTTTATGGGGAGCACACCCTGAGCCAGACGAGCACCCCGGGTCCCGAGGGTGAGCCCCATAACAATGCGGGCCGCAGGGAAACCAGAATGGGAGAAGGGGACTGGGTGTCGAGGTCACCGAGGAGGGGCCTAGGGCAACACTGTCCCCGCAGGAAAAATAAACCCCCGGTAATGGGCCCTCAGGGAACCCCCGGGAACCCAGCTGCCAAGACAACCCAGTTAGGCCCAGAGCCACGCGACAGCACAGGCCAAGGCCAGGAGAGAGTGAACCATGGCAGCCCCAGGAAGGGAGGCCCCAGGAAGGGCCAGTGATGTGTGCCTTTGCAGGATGACTGTAGTTGGGTCCACAGAGTCTCTTTGAAATTTCCATGCCTGTGATCCTAGCACTCAGGAGGCTGAGGCAGGAGGATCGCCATGAGTTCCAGGCCAGCCTGGGCTACATAGTGAGTTCAAGGCCAGCCTGAACTACATCGTGAGGCCGTTTCAAAAAAAACAAAGCCAGCAATGGCCAGAGCTTTGAAACGAAGTTACTCTCAGTTTTCCCAGGAAAAAAATCAAGTCTGTCCAAAGATCAGGCAATTGAACTGCAAGATGGTAAGTAACCTTTGCCTTTCCATTTTTCCATAAGCAACTTGTGCCTGACGTGGGCCCTTCTCTCATTTCACAGTGCACTCTGGACACACGCCCTGCATTTATCGCTGGCACCATGCAGTTTGGGTTAATGTTTCATGATAATATCTAGTAGTGGATCCCGTGTCTCCAACCGCAGCTTTACTGTCCCGCTCTGGAGTCTGGGGGAAGGAGAGACGTGGCTGGGAGATGAGTTCCGGCAGTGCTGGCTGTAAGCACAAGTCCTGCCATAGAGCCAGGCCCATCTCACCCATGGGCTTGGGAGACTGGGACCCTCCAAGGCTCTTCTGTTTTGTTTTGGTTTTTGAGACAGGGTCTCACTATGTAGCCCAGGCTGGCATTGAACACATGCTAATCCTCCTGTCTCAGCCTCCCGAGTGCTGGCATGACAGGCATGCACCACCACACCCTGATTGTAGGCTAAAAAGCTCTTAACCAATACTGTTCCAAAAGTGTTTCATAGAATGTACATATGTTATATGCACATGTCTTGCTCAAGACAGGCATGTTTATATAGGACATATTACCTGTCATATGATCTATGGATATTAAACTTACAGTTATTAAAATCATCCCTTCAACACAGACATGAGAACAACAATAACCTACCCATCAATTTTGGCTCACAACTGAGAATTTGAGAGAACAGATGATTTAAGATGCTGGTGGCCCATGCCTGTCATTCCAGCACTTGGGAGGCTGAGGCAGGAGGATCAGCATGAGTTCGAGGCCAGCCTGGGCTACATAGTGAGATCTTGTCCCAAAAAAAGAAAATAAAAAAAAGAAAGAAAGAATATTACTGAAGCAACTTCGGAGATAGGAATGGAGCGCCAAGACAGCTTCATGGTTATACAGGAGAATGTCCTTTCCCTAGGACACACACGCTGAGGAGCTGGGGACAGTGCCCAGGTGCCCATGACTTATTTGCATGTGGTCCAGAGACAAGAAGTAAAGATGGAAATGTTAGCCATCAGTGAAAGTGGTCAAGCGGTGGACGCGTGTTCTCTGTACTATTCTTGCCACTTTTCTGTAGACTTGAAATATTTTTTTAAAGATGCTGGGAAAAAGAGAGTTCCTGCTATACTGAGTCACAAAAGCCCACTTCCTCCCAGGAAAACAGAGCCTACACACAGAAGCACCGGAAATTGTTTAAAAGCTTGATTAAAAAGCAACACCAAAACCAGAATATGTTTGGGTAAAATCTCACAGTTAAACCCGAAAGGCCTAGCTTAGCCCCAGCTGGGGCATTGCTCCATCTTCTACACTGGTCACACCATTGTCACTTATCTAAGTCAAAACACCAGCAGCCTGGACGAGACCCCACAGTCTCTTCCGGCACTGACCGGAAGTTCTCCAAGAGCTCAGGAAGGGGTCACATTTGCCCTGTGGTGTAAATACATCCTTAGAAATTTAAGCTGCAAAGCTACAGAGAGGAAGACAGCCCGATTGTCCAAACCTCGGCTTGGAGATGGTCTAAGGCGCACCAGAGAGCTTCACTTAAGTGTGGAAGTGGAAAAGCGTTTCACAGCTATGCGGTACTGTCCAAGTCATTCCAGAATCAGCACTAGATCCATTTCCCCTGGAAAAGTCTGAGTTATTTTGTTGCTGTTTTGCTTTTTGACACAAGGTCCCACTCTGTAGTTCAGGCTGGCCTGGAAATCTCAAGGATCCTCCTGCCTCAGCCTCCTGGGTGCTGGGATTACAGGTGTGCACCACCATGCCCAGCTGTCCTAGTTATTTCATGGAACTCTTGATAATAGAGATCAATTTTGTGTCCAAGTTTAAATTCTGGGAATTCCAGCCAGAGATTTAGCTCATTGGTGCCTTGCCTGCCTGGCAAGCACAAGGTCCTGAGTTTGATCCCCTCTTCTGCCAAAAAAAGCAAAAACAAACAAAAATCCTGGGAATTCCAAAAAGTTGGAAGTATTTGCAATTATATAGGTGGAAGCCAAGTGTTTTCACAAGTTTTTTAGAATGATTCACAAAATACAATGGGTATGAAGAAGGATAATGTAAGCCAGGCATGGTGGTGCACACCTGTGATCCCAGCACACAGGAAGCTGAGGCAGGAGGATCACCTTGAGTTCAAGGCCAGCCTGGGCTACATAGTGAGTTTAAAGCCCGAACTACATAGTGAAACCCTGTCTCCAAAAAAAAAAAACAAACTAAAACAAAACAACAAAAAAGGATAATGAGAAAAAGCAGACATGGAACAAGTAACAAAAATGTTGAAAAATGACCATGTTAGCAATCTTGCTCTGTCAAATAAAACCCTCCATGATCGTGTCTCTCTCCTTTGCAGTCCTTCCATTCACTCATCCCTGTGTTCAAATCCTTACGCCAGAGGACTTCAAGGGCCAGACTGTCATTTCGAAAACTATGTCACATTGTCTTTCTGTGACCGTAGTTTTTTTCTGGATATGAAGGTTTGGTTTTTCAAGCCTAAACATACAAGTGAGTTGAAAGCAATCCCGTACACATAGCTAAGTTCAGACTGTGGACTGTGAGCAGAAGTCCCAGCCCTGTACTGGAGGGGTGATCCAGGCAGGCAGACACCGCCACACTCGCTCCCAGGACTCTGGACCATGAACACCCGTGAGTGGCCCTTTATTGGCTCTTGCCCTTAATTAAGAGGTTCATGCAGTCTTAAGCTTGGGTTCCAAAAACCATTAATAATTACCCTTAAATGGCAAACAAAGGGGAAATTTCATCATCAGGGTGGTGTGTCTGCACACTATAAAAGCTCTCGGCCCTCCCGGCAGCTCACACGTCTGCCGATTCCCAGTGCAGCACTGTCACCGAGCAGGTCAGTGGGGCCAGAGCAGCAGCAAGCACTCCTGCTCAGTGACCTCGGCTTCTTTTCAGAAAGGTGGGAAAGACCCGAGGCTGGGGAGAAAGTGGGTTTGGGCCCTCACAGTATCACCTGTGGGTAGGTTTTCTCTGAGACTGCCACCTAGCGAGCAGATGCGGTTACTAAGGGTAGTGTTCATCTTCAGGGCCTGTCTGCTACTGGGTGTGCACCAGGCAGACATTCAACATGCTATCTAAGCGGGTCTTCTCCAGCGTGGGGATGGAACCCAGGGCTTGAGCTTGCTAGGCCAGCGCCGGAAGGACTCTTTTTAAAACACTGGAAAATCCAGCACCCTCGCACCCCAGCGCTCTCGCCTCTTCCTGTCTCTTTCCTTTCCGCATCTTTGCCAGGGGAGAGGCACACAGTCCTGCTGATGACCCTGAGCGTACACCACTCAGAAGCCTTTGGGGAAGCTCATGTTGCTCTCTGTTTCCAGGACTCCGCCATGGCTGCTAAAAAGTCTCCCGAGGAACTCAAGAAGATTTTTGAAAAATATGCAGCCAAAGAAGGTGACCCGGACCAGCTGTCCAAGGAGGAACTGAAACTGCTGGTCCAGGCCGAGTTCCCCAATCTGCTCAAGGTGGGCGAGGCAGCTGGTGGGAGGGCAGGGGACAGTAGGGCTCAGCCACTTCTGTGACACTCCCAGTGCTCAGGGGTGTCTGGGCCCAGCCTTGTGGCCAAGCTGCAGCAGGCAGAAGCAGCAGAGTCCTGCACACCCTGAACACCGCTAGCGCCAGGCTCTGGACACCAGGCCCAAGTGCTCCGTGGGACCTCACTAAGGAAAGCAGCTTTGCAGGGTGTGGTGGCGCACACTTGGGATCCAGCACTCCAGAGGCTGAGGCAGGAGGATCCCTGTGAGTCTGAGGCCAGCCTGGGCTACATAGTGAATCAAGGCCAGCCTGGACTACACAGCGAGATCCTGTCTCAAAAAGAAAACAGGTACCAGTATCTGATTTCATTTACTCTCCCTTCCCATGTCCCATCCTTTCTCTCTGAAACCAGAGTGCAAGCACCTTAGATAACCTTTTCAAAGAACTGGACAAGAATGGTGACGGAGAAGTCAGTTTCGAAGAATTCCAAGTGTTCATAACAAAGACCTCCCAGTAAAGATGGGTCCGACAAGCAGGCCGGGGACTGAGGCCTTTGTGGCAGCCACACTGCCTCAGGCTGAGTTCCTTACAATTGGATGACTCGACCTGTTACTGTCAATAAAGAACTTCCCAGACGTGGCTGTCCTTGTTGAGTATTGACTGTCAGAATTCAGCAGATTCTGGGGAAGAGGAAGGGGATGCAAAAATATAGATGTACATAAACCAACTCCCCACAGCGAATGTATTTGGGTTGTTTGTTTGCTTTGGGTTTTTTGATTTTTTTTTTTTTGTACCAGGGATTGAACTTGGGACCTTGTGCTTGTGAGGCAGGCAGCGGAACCACTGAGCTAAATCCCCAGCCTTGGGATTTTTGAGACAGAATCTCACTATGTAGTCCAGGCTGGCCTTGAACTCACTATACAGGCCAGGCTGGCCATAAATTCCTGGTGATTCTCCTGCCTCAGCCTACTGAGTGCTGGGCTTACAGGCCTGCACCACCACACCTGGCTCCTCATGATGAATGCATCATTATGTACTGCAAACATGTGCTCATAAAATTAAAAACTGAAAAACATAACTTAGTAGATTTAAAAATAACATTAGTCTAAGTCATCCAATTTTAAGATTTAATAAGTGGGGCTGGGGTGTAGCCCAGTAATAGAGCACTTGCCTAGCATGCAGCAATGCATGAGGCTCTGGGTTCCATGCATTCCCAGCACTCCAAAGAAAAAAGAAAAGAAAGAAAGAAAAAGCTCCGTGTGGTGCCATACACCTGTAATCCCAGCACTCTGGGAGGCTTGGGCAGGAGGAGCAAAAGATGCAGCCCAGAATGGGCAAGTTAGGCTATCGTGGTTTTCTCCTCCTCTTCTCAGCCCAAGCTCACTCCGCAGAGCCAGTTTCTCCCTCACTCTTCACTTTTACTTTTTCAAATAAGCTTTGCTACTGAAAAGGGGGGGGGGCAAGTTAGCAATTTAGCAAGACTCTGTCTCAAAAAGAATTTTTTTTGTTTTGTTTTTTGAGATAGGGTCTTACTAGGCTGGCCTAGAACTCACTACATAGCCCAGGCTAGCCTCGAACTCTCAGCCTCCTGAGTGCTGGGATGACAGGCATGCGCCACCTTGCCTAGCGTGCCCTGTTGGTTTTTACCCTGACTATATGCACATGCCAGGTCGGTCCATCAAGTTGGTGTCCTCATTTCCCTGGGAGCCTGAAGGCCCTCCAAGGCAGACAGCAGCACACACCCTCACACTAGCACCCAGAGAGCAGAAGGCGGCTATCTAGCAGGAAGGGGATGTGTCCCCAGAGTGGACAGGGCCACAGTCACCCCTGGGAGCTCAACCTCGCAGACAGGGAGGTTCTGCTTGCTGTAAGGAGCAAGGAAGTCAGACTGGGCCGGGCACCAGGTGAGTAGGTTACAGGGACTTGGAGGTAGAGGAAAGACATATTTCAATTTGCTGAAATACATATGGAAAAGAAATCTCTGTAAGTTCACACCAGAAACTAATACCAGTGGTGTCAGGACACACCGGACAGCCGGGGGGGGGGGGGGGGGACAGGGAGAGCCACTTCTCACTGGATATCTCAGTGTGCATTTGGGCTTTTCAGCTATGTGGATGTGTGTCCTGCAAAGAGAACTAATGACCAGCCAGGTATGGGGCACACTCGTGTAATCCCGGCACCCAGGAGGCTGAGGCAGGAGGATCGCCATGAGTTCAAGGCCACCCTGGGCTACAGAGTGAGACCTTGTCTCAAAAGACAAGTCTCTTGGGCCGGGGATTTAGCTCAGTGGTTCCACCACCTGCCTTGCAAACGCAAGCCGGTTCGTTCCGGATACCAAAACAAACAAACAAACAAAAAAAAAAAAAACAAAAAAAAAAAACAAGTCTCTTTCTAGTTTGCCAGGAGACTGTGAGCACCAGGCTGTGGACATTGCAGACTGTCTACTGAGCTGACAGTGATACGGGGTTTTCTTTTATTCAATCAATGTGATATGTTAATTGGTTTAATTCCCAGGATAACACTATCCAGCCATGATCAATTATCCTTTAATGCTATTAAATGGGACATTCTAATAGTTTAAGATGTTCACAGCTTCCTTCTAAATGGTATTAGTCTATAGGTGGAGTCGTGTATGCTGCTAAGTCTCGTATGCAACTCACGCTAGCGTCTTATTTCAGCCCCTGTGTCAGGTATGAATCAACCCCTCTCCAAATAAACACACACTGTTTCAGCTCCAACACGCACAGGCACCTTCCGTGGGCCATGCATTAGGGAGGAGCACAGAGTACCAACTTCTAGACCTCTGACATCCTGAGCCAGCAAGTCAGGCACTGGACCCAGGAAAGAGTTAACGGAAAAAGCAGCATTTCCACCCAGAAGCACTTTGAGGGGGTGAGCAGGGCAGAAGCCACCAAGGACGTTCAAAATAAAAGAGAAGAGCCAGGCATGGTGGCACATGCATGTGATCCCAGCACTCGGGAGGCTGGGGCAAGAGGATCACTGCAAGTTTGAGGCCAGGCTATGCTACATTAGGAGGTCAAGGCCAGCCTGGACTACATAGCAAGACCTTGTCTCAAAAACAAAAACAGTACCAGCATTTTATCATTAAAAAAAAAAAACATGCCGGCAAAGATGAGGTGAAAAAGGAAGCATTACACACTTCTGGAAGGAATGTAAAGTAGGGCAGCCACTATGGAAAACAGTACAGCAGTTCCTTAAAAAGCTAACAGAACCTCCATGCAACTCAGCTGCAGCCCTGCTAGCTACACAGCCACGGGAAGCAGAGTGCGCATGCGCAGGGCCACCTCGTGCCATTCACAGCAGCCAGGACTGAGAAGCCGCACGGTGGTGGGCGGGAAGAACCTGGGTAATGAACACGATGGCGCGGGACTCAGCCAGAGGAGGCGGCGTCGGGGCATCTGTGGGAACTGAAGGCCATCTCATTAAGCACGAGAAGCCACACTCAGAGACAGGTATCCTGTGTGTCATGCGTTACATCTAGATGTCCCCAAAGCCTCCCGCGCTCACAGGGGCTGTCTCGAGGCGAGCTGCTCGAGGGGTCGTGACCCTCGTCAGCGGACTGGTCCACAGTGGGCTCCCAGCTACTTGTCAGTTGGGAGGTGGAGCCTGGTTGGAGGAGGCGGGTCGCTGGGGGCGTGGCCTAGAAGAGTCCCTCTCCTCCCCCTCCCTTGGTCTGTCCCTGCTTCCCGGCCACCAGCCGTGGGGTGTGCCGCCCTGCCTTGGAGCCAGCAGACTCTGGACAGAAACCGCTACAAACTGTGAGCTCAATAATAAACCACTCCTCAAATAAATAAATAAATAAATAAAATTAAAATAAACCTCTCCTTAGAGTTGTGGGTGTCGGGGATTGTGTTTCAGCGATGAGAAAGTGACTAAGACAACATGTTTTCTCTCATGTATGGAAACTAAAAATAAAAAATAATAAAAGTAGCAAAGATGACTGAAAGTACAAGAGGGACAGTTAGAGGGAGTGGGGGAGGTGACAGTGACCACAGTGTGACACGACACCTGCATGCATGGGGACATCGCAGAGTAGCTCATTCGAGTGCACCACTAATGTGCGCTCAGAACTGTCATTAAAACCAGCCACAGCCGGGAATGTAGTTCAGTGGTGGCAGCACCTGCCTGGCAAGCGCAAGGTACCGAGTTCAATGCCCAGTACTGGGGGGAGCGGGGGGGGGGGGACAGCCACAAAGCTGCATTCCTCACCAGCCTGCAAGGCTTGGAGGCCCAAATCTATACAGAGTCCCGGCACATAGACCTTAACATGCGTGTGCTGGGTGGTTCTGGACTATCTAGTCACTAATTCTTGTTTTAGTTCTTTTGTTTTTGAGACAGGGTCTCGCTGTAGTGCAGGCTGGTCTTGAACTTGAGGTGATCCTCTCACCCCAGCTACTATACTTGGCCATGCATCTCACCAGTCCGGAGCCAGCAAGGGGAGCTATGCAGGGGCGCTCATACCGCGCCACTCAGGACTCCATGACGGGGACGGGCTCTGAACACAGCAACTCTTAAGTAATCTCTCTCCACTGACATTCAATCATTTCTCCTGCAGAAAATCTTTCAAGTGGTTGAAATGCCTATTTTGGAGGCATTTCTCATTGAGCTCAAAGTACAAAAGCTTTAAAATACATTAGCTTTGAAGTACACATTTAGTGACTTGCTTACCATTAACGTTCCCATTCCCCTCCTGATTCAGGATTCTTAATGGGACCCGCTCCAAGCAGCGCGGGTCTCCTTTCAAAGAGCATAATCGGTTAAAGCGGCAGGGTTGGTGGGCAGGTTAAAGATGCCCTGAGCCATCAGGCAGCAGCCATCCTGCCTGGAAGGAGAAAGTTTGTGGGATTTTATAGCTCTACTACTAGACGGCGTGCAGAGGCACACACCTGGAATCCCAGCACTCGGGAGGCTGAGGCAGGAGGATTGCCCTGCATTCCAGGGTAGCCTGGGCTACACAGTGAGTTCAAGGCCAGCCTAAACTACATAGCGAGAACCAGTCTCAAACAAACAAAAAAGCCCCACTAAGGTATAACTGGCAAATACTATATATATTCAAGATGTACAAGATGAGTTTTGATATATACATACACTGTAAAATGGCTTTTAAAATCAAGCCAACTAATATCCATTATCTCATATAGTTACCTGGTGTGTGTGTGTGTGTGTGTGTGTGTGTGTGTGTTGAGAACACTTGAAATCTACTGTCTTCAGCAGACTTCAAATATTTGATACAGTATTTTTTCCATTTTTCTGAATTTTTTAGACAAGGTCTCACTATGTAGTTCAGGTTGGCCTTGAACTCATGGTGACCCTCCTACCTCAGCCTCCTGAGCACTGGGATTACAGGCATGGGACAGTAATATAAAGCAGTCACCATGCTGTACATTAGATCTCCAGAAGCATTTATCTTGTTTGTTTTGTTTGAAACAGGATCTCACTATGTAGCCCAGGCTGGCCTCCAACTCACAGCGATCCTTCTGCCTCAGCTTTGATTGGGTGGAGGAGCTTTTTAGCCCATACCAACTTCCAAATGGCCCCTAGCAGATCTTTGTGTCAGTGGGAATGCTTATTTCAATGTTCTAAAGGCTCTCACTCCTCAAAGTAATAAAAGTTGTCTC